TTCTCAGTGATTGAATCATGGACACTAGTGTGTCAGGTTGTTCTTGAAAAACATAGAGTTGAAGAGAGAAAAGAGGCACACACTATTCTACCATGAAAACAGACACCATGGCTACACCCTAATTCTTGTATTATAAAATATATAATGTTACCTCTTGAGCAAGGACAGATTTGCCCTTATATATTATGGGTAATGACTTTGCAATCCATAAACCACTTAAAATACACACAAATTACAGAAATACCCTCGTAGGAGAAATAATAAAGAGCATTGAGTTGATAGAGACTAAGAAAATTGATTCGGGAACAAATTGAAAGCTCCATTGCAAAGGTAAGGGCCTAGACATTAATGGAGAAGCTATGGGAACAATGGAACCAGTGACTGCATAAGATTCTATTGAAAATGAATCCTAATGATTCATGGGATGGGATGGCAGAATAAACCAAGAATGAATTGATTTTTTCTGAGAGGTCATAGGTTGATCTGAACCTATAAATGAAGCAGATATTGAAAGAGTAAATATTCACCCGTGAAAGCCTTGTTGGAATTGGGAAATGTTGCTATTCGGATTACCCTTGATGGTATTCTAACACTCCCCCTCAAGTCGTAAATCATGTTTGAACATGCAACTTATTCTTTAAAAACTCATGTCTATCTTTGCAAGCCCTTTTGTCACGATATTAGTTATTTGATTTTAGGTTCCAATAAAGCGAGCATCTATCTCCTCGGCTTTAATTTTCTAAGAAATAAAATGGTAATCTATCTGAATGTGCTTAGTGCCACCACGAAACACTGGATTTGCTAAAATTGCTAGAGCACTCTTGTTTGTCATAATACGTGCATATTTTGTTATGAGAAAAGAAACAATCTCTTGTATAAAATGAAACCTCAGAAACTACATCTACAAATGATCGATACTCAGCCTCAGTACTAGACCCTGCAACAGTTTTCTATTTCTTACTCCTCCATGAGTTTCGATTTCTACCAAGAAAGATACAATGACTTGAAAGTGATTTTCTAGAATCTGGATCTCCAGCTTAGTCTACGTTAGAGTACCCAACTATAGAAACAATATTTAATTTATTCATGTTATTTCTTTCATAGAGAAGCTCGTGATTCATTGTTCGTTTTACGTATCTGATTATTCTCTTCAACACTCCATGTGAGTGTCAATGGGCACATGCATAAATTGACATACTTGGTTAATGACATTTGATATATCAGGCTTGGTGAGAGGCAGATACTGTAATTCCCCTCTCTGGATTATCTAAAGCTATCCTCAGATATCTTTAATCTTTTATTCAGAGCTACTGGTGTACAATACGGCTTATAATAAGTCATATTTTCCTTTTCTAGAAAGTCTAGATTATACTTTTGTTGAGATAACCAAATTGATTCTCGTTTCAATGTACTTCACTTCCTAAGAAGTATCTCAACTAACCTAAGCCTTTGATCATAAATCTATCATGCAAAAATTTCATGACACCATCAATCAGGTCTATAGAACTCCTAGTAATTATAATGTCATCAGCATAGAGAAGAATAGTAATAACACCTTTCTTGATGTGAAAAATAAACAATGGATGAGTTCTTGCTACTCTGATAAAATTCGTTTCTTTTAGCACATTATGGAACACTGAGACCACATTCTAGGAGCTTGTTTTGACCCACATATAGATTTTTTCAGCATGTAAACATGAGTCTTTGGATTTGCTTCATGGAAATTTGGTGGTTGTTCTGTGTAGACCTCTTCGACCAACTTTCCATTTAAAAGGTATTTTTAACATCCAACTGAAAAAGTGACCGACCATAGGAAAAAGCAAGGGAACAACCACTCGAAATGTCACTATCTTAACAATAGGACTTAATGTTTCATCATAATCAAATCCATGCTGTTGAACAAACCCTTTTGCAGCCAGTGTTGCTTTAAACCTTTCCATACTCATATGACTTGTATTTCACTTCTATGCCCTTGATCTTGAATGGGTGTGTGTTTATTGAGGCTGTTGTCTACAACACCTAATTTCTTGAGTCTTTGGAAGAAGCCGGATAATAGAATTTTTAGATGATTGAGAGTGGAGGGTCCAACTCTGTGGAGTAGCATTTAGAACCAGGTCATTCTGTGGGCCCTTGCATTACCATAGTGTTCAGGTTTCCAGGTTGTGTTTTCTTAAGGAATAAGGACTGTTGCCCTTTTGTTGATTACATCGATGAGACTGAGTCCAAGGTGTTCTAAATTCTAAACCGATTCCTAGGTATGTTATGCTAAACTTCGATTGTTGTCTGAAGGGTAGTCCTTGACTAGGCAACTTTCTTTCTTGAGCCCCTTGGAATTTATTTTTGCATCTTTAGCTAAGGCCATACCACTGTTTCATGGCTGAGGGTTTGATCTCACAGGGACCACTCTATAATGGAAGGAGATAGCCTTGATGGTGTACGATGGGCTTAGGGGGAGAGTGTTCGTCCATGGCACTTGGCCATGATTTTTTATGAGCTAAAAAATATTTGACATTGTTATTCTTATCCTACACCATGTTTAATTGAGGTGCTGGTGGGGCACCTCCTTGGGGTCAACTCCCCTGGTAATATTTACAACTTCAATAAAATATGTTACAATCGAGAACATTGTTTTTGGAATGGGCTGAGTTACTCGGTCTCGACCTATGGGCGAGACCAAGTACTATGAACCGATTTTTTATAAATATTATGTATCCTAGCTATAATCACACGGGGTCTAGCTGCCTCAACAGTTTCACGTTTATGGTTCGAATCCCACCAGACATGATCCCATTTTTTTAATTAAAAAATAGATGTTTCTTATTTTATTATAAAATAATAAAATAAGCCTTGTCTTATTTTATTAAAAAAATAATCGTTCTTAAATTTTAAGGGGTTCCTTATTTCTAATAAAAAATAAGCACTATTATAGTTTAATCAAAAAACTAAGAGAGGTTCCTTTTTTTATTAAAAAATAAGCACCATTATGATTTAATTAAACAATTAAGATAGATTCCTTTTTTTATTAAAAATTTACACAACATCATAGGTCCGAGTACCTTGGCCTAGTCGATTTTTTGAGCAATGATCGAGAATAAATAGATAACATGAAATTATTGACTTCTACCTCTAGTAATGTATCTATGGATCTTAAGGATTAAGAACTAGAGGCTTTAGCCTTTGAGTTAGGGCTTGTGCCTATTGTGGATGTCGGGATGGTATTTGGGCCGGGGAAGCATTAGTTTTTTTTTTGAAATTAGTTATATCGAAGAGAAGTGATTTATTTGATGATGAAAAGGTCAAAAGTTCTAGAAGGGAGTGCAGAAGGAGCAGCGTGTGAGAGAATAGTATTGGGCAATTGCGTGAGAAAAGGTTTGGGTTTTGGTCTCCATATTGAGGGTATCTTTTCGTTCATGTTCTTTTGAAGAGTTTAATAATTATGAAGAAAAAAAACAAAATAGTAAGGGTATTAGAATCATGAGTTTCTGGTTGTAAGAAACAAAAATAATATTTTCTAACGGTTGCTTCTCTTGTTTGAAATAGAGGCACTTTGTAAGCCTTGATTCCGGCTGTAATGCTGTCATTTTCATTCAAATGCATAAGAAAGAAGGTGGTCCGTGCCCAGCTGATATTGTGTCTCATGTTATGAAGACCGCTGCTGCTACAAGGAAACATATGTCAAGGTTTACTCTTCTCCATACTTTCTAAGGCAATAATAGCTTGCATCAAAAAGATTCTTGAGGATTGGTTACTAGGACCCTCTTTGGTAACATTTTTGTTTCTCAATCTAACTAATTTCATGCAATTGTGGCCTTTATCTTTAGATTCATCTTGAGACTGTTGCCTGTTGAAGTAACATGCTATGCATCTGGTGAAGAAATCTCGAAGGCAATTAAGCCACTAATTGACCATTATTATCCTAGTGGAGGTGATCCGCCTCAAAAGGTAAATCTTTGATTAATCAAATCTGGATCTATGTGCTACATATCTAGCTTTGGCTTTTTTTTTTTTTTTCAGAAATGAAGAAATAGATATAGTTCTAGTTTATTTCTTATGATATAATTTCTTTGCAATCTCTTCTACAGTTTGGAATCGGTCCAATTTAGTTTTCCCTTTTTGTGAATCCTTCCATGAAAGAATCCAATATGACATTTGATTACTTCATTAGTTTTCGTACATCAATCTTCACCTTCTTCAGGAGCAGCTTCTGCATCTAATGTCATGAAGTACAGCACCAAACCTCCCTAAACTATTCCTTTGCATCTGCAGTTTGCAGTATTGTATGATGCCCGTGCAAATACAGGAATCGAACGAGCAGCAATCATAGATTCAGTTGCAAAAGCTGTTCCTCAGCCACATAAAGTCGATCTCAACAATCCAGATAAGACTATCGTCGTCCAAATTGTTAAGGTATGTGTCATCTTGCAGAATTATATATTGGGATTGTCTACAAAGAGATCAGTTATCTTTTTTACATAGAGGTCACAATCATTCCCAGATGTCAAATTGGATGGCTTGGGTTGAATCACGAAGTCTGCGAATTTTTCTTTTGAAACTTTGTGTCTATTTAATGACACTCTTACAACCGTCCATTTTGAAATTTAAGGGACAAGAATGATTGTGACCTTCATGTGCAAAAGATAAATTGTCTCTTTATGGATAATCCTTTATATATTCAGATTAAATGTATTACTTGTTCTTAGATATTGAGATGGACTAATAAAAAACAATTTTTCTCCTGTTTCTTTATCATTCATTTCTTTTCCTGTTTCTTTATCATTCATTTCATGTTGGAATATATGTACAAATATGCTACTGTTATTATAAACCTCTGAATCTTGTTGAAATCTAGAAATCTGAAAGAACGCCATGGATGGGTGCTGTAGATTGAATTTCGCAGTGAAATTGGAAAATTAAAGAGGAAGCCTATAAGCCAGCTTCAATGGCTGTACATTGGTTAAACGAGAAATAAGATATCAAAACTCAACTCTTTATGCTAAATTCTCTGCATAGACCCCTATTTACATTAAAAGACCTTACATAGAAACCAAGAAATCCTGATTCTAATAGAAATTGAAGCCCTAATAACACATAATTCGTAATGAGATCTTTAACCCTGATAAAACAAATAATTCAATAAGCACACTAACTACTTTTCTAAACATAACTCCTAAAATCTGAAAATTATAAAAAAGCCTAGAATCCCTAAAAACAAACTAAAAAACCCTAAAACTTTAAAAAATATGTCCCTTAAATTTAATAAGAAAAATTAAAAAATAAGAGGCGTCTTGTCTTGCATTAATCTCCCTTGGTTGGAGAAAACTCTTCATTGATTTTTTTTTGGAGAAAATTAACCATCATTATTGAGTTTTGAAATAGGTTAAGATGAATTCCTTGCTAAGCCCACAATCTTCTTCAACCCGAATATTTTAAACATGATCGTGGGACTTGTGCATTGAAACATAGTGAATGTGCATTGAAATTGGGTTTTTACCATCAATTGATATATTCATGAACACTTTTGGCGAACCCTCGATGACATGGTCATTATATGTCGATGGAATAACTGTGATACATAAGCTCAGTTCAGTCTTGTAAACTAGCTGAAATTGCAGCAATTCATATAGCCCTTCAGCCTTAAAACATACCAAGGGGCATCTTTGGGATGAGCAATAGATTCGATGGTCGAACCAACAACTTCATCTGTTGATCGAAGATTGGTTCGCCCACGAAATATTGTTCATAATCGTAGATTGGTTCTCCTACAAAATATCATTCTTCATTTGAGCATGCATTGAAGATTGGCGGCAAATCCCAATCTACAACTTACTGATTTTGGAAACAACTGGATAAAAATAAAGATTCTCCATGGTCAGGCTCCTCAATATCACGAACCAAATTGTATTCACAAGTAGCAAGATTACCTCTCCCCTGGTTGTGAGTCAAATCAGGCTCATCAAAATCAGGAATGCCCGCCTTCAAATCGAAAACAAAGCCTAGAGTGATGCACTCTTTGTTTAGGTCTTCTTTCACTCTGCTCTTCACTGAATTCTTCATGCGGAGCATGATGGTGAAAAAGTTGTACTCAACGTGTTCTTGGGGCCGAAAGATCACTGTTTTTCCCATGATTGATGCCCACAAATTGTTGTGCAAGCTGCTGAACCTGCTCCTGAGGTCCTCAATCTCATTATCTATGGCATCACGGGGTAGGTCTGTGAGAGTCCCCCTTCGATGACCCCATCTTGCTGAACCTGTCTCCTGAGGGTCCTCAATCTCGCCGCGCATTTAACAGCCTATTGAAAGATGGGTATGCTATGGAGGTTTCACTCATGAACATCAACTATTCTTGAGTGAGATCCTGAAGATCAAAGAGCCATCAACGTACTTGGAGGCAACAAAGGATAAGAGGTGGATTGAAATTTGAATCTATGTAAGAAGAAAATCAAGGCCATGCATGGTTAAAAGGCCATAAAGTAAAAATGTAGTAGGTTGCAAATGGGTATATAAGGTGAAATATAAATCAGATGAAAGTATTGAGAGATTCAAGGCGAGTTTGGTAGCTAAAGGATTAATAAACATCACTAAAGGATTTAACAAACATCACTAAAGGATTTAATAAACGACACGGACTCAATTATGTAGAAACCTTCGGTCTAGTTGTTAAGATTGTGATAATACGCATTATTTTATCATTAGCCTTGGCTTATAAACTGGCTACTCTACCAGCTGGATGTAAAGAATGGATTTCTTCATAGGGAGTTGAGAGAGGAGGTTTGCATGGAGCAACCACTGGGATTTAGGGAAGCAGATTCAAGAGATTAACATAATCTATCAATTTATGTATTGAAACAAGCATCATGAATGTGGTTTCAAAGTTTTCATAATGCATTAAAGGAGTGAGAATTTAAGAGAACAGCAATTGGCCATTTCCTGTTCATCCACAAAAAATGATGCATGTATTATAATTGTGCTTATGTATGTCGAAGATGTCACAATTACAAGTAGTTCATAGATGTAGTTGCTGATGTGAAGAGATTTCTTAACAATAAATTCTAAATGATTTTGGAGAACTAATTTATATTCTTGGGATAGAGGTAGATCAAGACACCAATGAAAAATTAAGCTATCTCAACAAAAGTATGTCTTAGTTTTGTTACGAAAATTAATGTGGTGAACTGCAAGCCTTGATGGACACCTATTGCCATGAATAGTACACTGAGCAGGGATGAAGGGAAATAATTAAGAGAACCAAAGTAGACTGAGCATGGGCTTTACCGTATCTCACATTAATACGACCAGATATATCATATGCAATTAATTAGGTATGTATTTATGCATATGCACACTTCATCTCATATGGAAGTCCTAAAGATAATAATTAGATATGTTAAGGGAACGGTGAGCAATAGCATGATCTATCATAAAAATGATATGAAGAATTTGCAAATTGAATGAATAATAGGATATTTAGATGCTGATTGGGTTGTTGACCCAGATTAAAGAAGGTAAGTCTCTGGATTTTGTGTTTATCTTGGGAAAAACTTGATATAATGAGAAGTAAGAAATATAAGATAGTAGCCAAATGAAGCACTGAAGCTGAATATCAGGCATTGGGAAGTACTATATCAGAGATATTATGGATTGTAGTCTGATGACCGCATTCAGCATGAAAATTCAAATATATCTATAGTGTTTTGTGATAACAAGAGCGCCTTAGCCTTGGTGGAAAATCTGATATTTCATGATAGATCTGAATATTTTCAGATCGATTATCATTTTGTACGGGAAAGCATTGAAGCCATCTTTGTGGGCACGGTAGATCAAATAGCAGAAATATTTACATAAGGGTTATCAAAGGAACCACATACAGTATTTTAAGGACAAGTTCTGCACGTTAGAACACGATGTACAACTTGAGGGGGGGTGTTAGTCATAATGGGTAATGCATATATTGGTAATTTCGTATGCTGCTGCACCTTATTCTTGTATTTGTAGTTCGTGTTTATTGAAAAGGACAAATATGTCATTCTGGATTTATTTGTACCTTATCTAACCCTCAATTAATATGGGGTTAGAAGCAATATAAATATACATCTCTGAGTACATCCCCTCACTCAAGAATGAACTTAGGGGTCACATCACTCTTCTTTCTTCCTCTCTACCTGTACCACACTTACTCTTCTCTCTCAAGTATTCAAAATGATATTTTAACGTATATGGGGCTTGCAAATTTTATCTTTTTTCATATATACAATCAACTATAATTTATCCAATTTCCTTGTGAAACCTTCATGGCAATAAATAAGATAAATCTCTACATTCCCTGCCAATCCGGATACCCATGACAAGGCCTTAGGCCAGGTTCGTTGGTTCAACCTCCTTCTATAGTCCAACTAGGGTAGAAGGGTGTGTAGACCCATAGTTATCCCCAATGAGCTACGATAATATGCTCTTATTGTTCCATTTACTATAACCTAAAAGGAGGCTTGTCAAAATGCAATCTAAGGCGGGGCATCCCATCCCAGGTAATTATAGCCAATCACACCACATGCCCCTAAAGCCCATCAACCGCTTTATGGGCACTGGAATCAACTTAATCGCCAGGTGGCACATGTTGGGAGCCTGGGCATCCCATCCCAAGTAATATTAGCCTCCCTGCATGTGTTAAGACAGAGAGGGATTTGGGGATGTCATAAAATTAGAATCTTTTTGGACTCTGGAGCATATAGTATGAAACTCAAGAGCCCATACTTTGCCTAGGATATAACATTTGTCTATGCTTTATGCTTCCTGAGCTTTTTATCCCTTGTTCGTGTCTAGGGGCATTCTAGTCATTTGTCTTTCTTGAACAATAAGTTCAATGCAGTTTATGGATGTATTTCTTGCTCTGAATCATCATGTGACAATCCTTACTCAAAAGTCAAAAGTGTCTCCACCATGGTATTGAGCCACTCGCCCAAGAGCTTGGTGCTTTTAGAGTTCTATGCATAATCTTCATATTTATTCCTTCTTGGCATGATCTTTGTGGGACCAATGAGTTTTAACTATGAGTATATAGAGGTGTCAAAGGGTCTAGGCATTGGTATATTGAGTCCTAGCACGCTGTTACTGATGATAAATTATGTCAATGAAGTGCAAACAGTTGTAGATCGTGTTGCCTTTTGGGAGATGGGTTCATGGCAGGCTGCTGGCCTTTGTATTTCACTTTTGCCTCTTCAGATGTAGACGATGATCCAAAGGGTGGTTCTGTTGTTTCATGTAGATTTAAACGTGAGTCATTGCTGATTAGTCTATCTTTGGGATGTGGGCTGGACTTGGGTAGGACTGACACAGAAGTTTTTGGCCTTGTTTGGCATTGGTTCCATCTTGTAAGAGGTTGCTTTAGATGCTGGACCAATGGTAGAGCTTGAATTCGTGACTGAGACTGAGAGGGATGTGGGTTTTAGTTGGGTTGGCTGGGCAGATGAGGTAGTAACTTATTCAGTTTGTAGATAGGCTGCTGGTTATAATTTCATTTTGGATACATGGAAGAACTGGATGGTTGATTGACATGGATAATGTGTCGGGTCTGTTCCTAAAAATATATTTCAAAGGTAAGAATGGAAGGCATCAAGCGGGAGAAACAAGAGGTGGAAAATTTGAAATACCTTTTGTCATTCATCAATTATATGAGAAGTTCGCACCAGGGAAGGCGAAAGAGCAAGGACGCAACAGGGTTCTAGCTCTTTGGAAGAAGAACTCGTTGTCATCATGTATCTGGTAATGGCATCCTGGTTGTGTTTTTTTTTATCATAAATTTAAATTTTAGTTATCTGAAAAGAGAACTCTTAGGTATCCTGATTGTTTGGGATGAATAACCCTTCTTTTGGGGACACTAATTAATCTGAAGTTGCAGTGCAATAGTGTGTTTCATTTGGATCATGTTATCAGTCTACCTGGCATTCCTCTTGTTGGGGCCTATTCTGGAGGAGCTTGTAGCTGCAAGGACAAGGTGGCATGAAGCCATAAACCATGGTTCACTGGTGCAGATTTCATTGTTATAAGTCTTTCACTGTTTGTCACTAGTTGGGATAATTCATTCACTACATACATATAATAGCCTCGTGTAAGATCAGAAATTATCGTATTGACTTTGGGCTGATGCTTAAGCACTAAATACCCTGAAAATATATAATAGACAAAACTATGTGATATTGATACAAATTAGTACACTGCCCATAACATATGTAGTATTTAAGAGCTAGATTTCTGTGCTTTAAAAGCAAATAGAGCTTGTTATGATCTGATTAAATGTCTTCCCAATATTGTTAGACTGGAAATCCTGCTTCTTCTTTCTTTGTTTCTTCTTTTTTCTTAATTCAGTTACGACCGTTTCTGAAACAGGTTTTTGACCAAGGTACTGCTTGATATATCACTGTTGAAGTGTTTCCATGCCTTGCATTCAAAAACTTGTAGCTTAACTCCCCTACCATTAATAAACTGATAAATTCATTGTGGAACTCTGTTCTACCGTCTAGTTTGGTGATGTTTAGGACGGTGTGGGAGCTAGAAAGGTTAAGACCTTATTGGATTGCATGTGGCCCACCGTCACAAAGAGAGGTGTAGTTTGACCAATGCGATTATAGGCAGGAGAACATCAAACATGTACACCAAGATATTCTCAAGTTAGTAATTTATTTCTGATAGCTAACTCCTTTCTCAAGGAGGATATTTTTGGCACCAAAAAATATTTAGGTTAACTCATTGGACGGATGTCCACTTTTTGAAGGTTTATCGTGTCCCTTGAGGTTGTGTGGTGCTATGGCAGATGAAAGCAGGGAGTCTTGCTGTATTACCCAAAAAACCGGCAGGGAGGCTTCCTTGTTGAATATGATTAGATGGGTCTTTTGTGAGGCCTATGCCCCTTTAATTTTGTGGGGTTCTTTGTTAAATCGATAGCCATGCAAGTTTACTTGTACTAAAGCCATGTATAAAGCGGGCCAGCAAGGATGCTGAGTCTTTGGCTAGGGTTGGTGTGTTTAGGAGTTCCATGCCATTTTTTTCCTTTCTGAGTTGTTATTATGATACTCTTATTGGTGTTTTACTCCTTTTGATGCTTGTAACTTCTATGATTTAATAAAATGTACATCCCCAGCCAACCAGAAAAGAAGAAAGTTGCAAGTGCTCAACTTGGCTTATGAGTCTTGAGTCCTGCCTTATAATGCTTCTTAATCTGGATTAAGGGTCATTGAGTGTTATTTTCCCTTAGCATCATCCTTTCTCATGAGGCTTGCTAAGACCAATCTCTCTTTTATCAAACTCATGAAGCCTCGAGGTTACTGTTCTTTATACCATAAATCCTTGATAAAAGATTTCCGATTCTTCAAGGCATGGTCTGAAGGGAGTATAGCCTTTCCCATCAGCCTCATTCCACACCTTTAAATGTTGAATTGCCACATCCAGCTTTGAGTTTCTTTTGAATGTTATAACGAGATTGGGAATTTTGTAGTTCTTGTTGCAGATTGAACTGAAAAGTATAGTACAGCAGGCTTATAAAATTGGAGATTTCATAAGAATGAATCAGAGAGCAGAAATGGCGTTTTACATTTGAAAATTTGGAATCTTGGTGGATGTGTATTATAATTGCGTATTATCTTTATTGACCCTCACCAGTTCAGATTCCATAAGAATGAATCAGAGAGCAGAAATGGCGTTTTACATTTGAAAATTTGGAATCGTGGTGGATGTGTATTATAATTGCTTATTATCTTTATTGACCCTCACCATTGCAGTTTTGCTCGAGTTGTATTTTTTTTTATAAATTTTGTTTTGATTGTATTGTTTTACTGCAGTAAGAAACTATATGTGCCTTCATTGCTTTGTGTTTCTCATGGTGGTCAACTGCTAAGTACTTGGAGATTTTGATATGTGCAGACAATATGCTTGGTGGGGGTGGTTGAGAAGTACAAGGAGTGGTCCAAATATAACCTGAGGCAGCTATCTTCTCCACCATCTTAGAGCGCAATGCCTATCTGACTTTAAATATTTTATATTTCAGCTCTTTTTCAAGAGGAGCCTCGTGAAGATGCACTTTTTTTGAGATTTTGTGAGGTACGCATTTCTTAGTTGTATGGATTGTCATTCTAGAATGTATGATGTGTGTATGGTTCTGAACTGTGAAACAAAAGAAGTACAGGTAGAAAAATTTCTTCATATCATTTCGCCATGTGAAAGCTCTCTCTTCTTTGATCAATGACTTGTATAAGTTTTTTCTCTTTTGATAGGTAAATCGGAAACTGATGCACCTCCTCAAGCTTCCTACACCAGGTCCTTTCAATTAAAGGAGGGACCAATGCATCAAAACTGTTTTTAACTAGAGTTAGACTTTATATATTGACAGGCGACTTTCTGCAACTCTGATAGGAGGTAGCTTCTTGAAAATTCCAGGATTGATAGAATCAGCTGGAACAAGAATGAAGACATTGTTTTTCTTTGGTATTTAGATAACTAAAAGATATTCTTGTGGGAGCATATTGTCCATTACTCACTTGGGTAAAATTCCATGTAGGAGTCTCTTTTGGACCGTGAATTTTGAGGATGCGTCCTCTTCAATCTAGTGAACAACTTACCCCAAAAAAAAAATCCAATGACCTCTCTAAGAGCCTGAAAAAAAAAAAAAAAACAATCCAAAGATTGGAAGTTGACCATCCAGTTTTTGGGCAGATGCATCCTATTGTTGCGAGTTCAAAATCTTTTTTTTTTTTAAAAAGATAATCATCTGATGAGTTTTAAGTTCATCTCAAATTTTTCGATCTAAAGAAATTTCCTAAGCAACTTTTTACCCAAAGGAGTCGATGGATAGTGTGCTATAGCGAGAACATAGAATACACGCTGTTTAAAAAACTTCAATTATCACTATCGTAAGAGTGAGTTCCCTGTTGTCAAAGGCACTTTTGCGGTCCTTGTGGGGATGGAGCCCCCAAACTAAGATGAAATTTCACCTTTTGCGAATCTTTTGTTGCGTTTGTATTATTTTGGAGAGGCTCTAGTAACTGACCTATTGGGATTTGTACTCTTGGCTTTGTGAAACTGCAACATGAAATAATATTTTAAATTTAATAATTAAAGATGAAAATATATTTTAAAGCTATCACAAAGATTTCCATTAATGAAACCACATTTTTTTGACGCTATTTGAAGGTGTATTCTACTTTAGAGCCTTGCTTCTATACAAACCACACCTTTTATAGAAACACCTTAAAATCTAACTTGGTGTGTAGGAAACCTAACCAATACTAAATCATAACCCCTCATATTTTAAAATAGAAAACTACACAAATATTTTTAAAGAAAATTAGGAACCCAAAACAAAGTCAAACATTAATTTTGACTCCTAAAAAATAATAAAATAAAAAAAAAATTAATAGTATCATTTTTCCGGGGTTGAAAGAAACTCAAACCCAAGCTTGTTATATACATTGCATCCTTTAAATGACACTTCAATAATTGGTGGAGTTACACCATTAGTGTTTTACCTTATTCAATGAACCAATTAATTAAACACTTATGTGTAACATGTAGTGAAACTCTAGGATATGAAAGATAATCGTTGTTTCTCCTTCAAGCTCCTTATAAAATTTGACAAGATTGAGCTTGATTCTGATATCATGTGGACCTTCAAGTCATGAATCTTGGATCGAAATTCATTCATTCCATATGGGATCAATCCTTAGAGTATGTGGTGAATCTCAATTTATCCCTTGGATGAGATGTGGTACAGGATCTACGAGATTGAGAGTACTTTCTTTATGATATGCATTTTATACTTGTTGCATTTGCATATTTATTTCTCTAATCTCTCAATGAATTCTGCTATTCTCTCCTCAAATTTCGCGGATCTACCTCGAATTTCTTTCATGACTTGATTTATGCTCTCTTTAATTTATTGATTCACAAGCTCTATGATTTGTGGCAATATTTCATCTATTGTAAGAGCATATTTTGGTGGCATTGTAATTGATGAATCTTCTAAAGCTCGGATACCAATTGATGTAGGGGAAAAGAGGAAAAAAAAATCAATAAATCAGAAAAATATGAAAAGAAAAATAAAAGGATGAGATTATATACCCTCTCTCCGGGTTTGCAAAGGAGCCCACCCCAAAACAATTGTGTTTTTGTTGGCTTTGGCTCCTTTAGGAAATGGTTCCCTTGATCGAATAGCAAAAAGAGTGACTGTTGCATCCGAGAATGTATGAACTGCACAGTTGCTAACGCAAATTGATATTCACATTCCTAGAATCCAAAATGGAGCTACTCCCTAAAGGCACCTCTGATCACTAACTACTTCTAGTCAAGCCTTCTTCTGTAAGCCCTCAAGTGCCGCAGACCTTCTAAATAGTTTGTAGCCTAGGAGTCTGGTCCTAATTTTATAAATGTCATTAGGGATTCTTGGAAAGATAAGGTGGGAGGTTAGATTTGTGGCTAAGCTTAGAAGATTAAAGAGTTTTAGAGGGTGAGGAACCTCACAACAATAATTGATATGGAAAAGAATTCAAGTGTGGATCTTTGATAGAAAGGAATACAAGATGGATAGTTGGAAAGGGAGACAAGGTGTATTTTTGGTTATATGGCTGGTGGATAACACGTTGAAAACATCTTTTCCATATTTGTTTGAGAAAGTTTATTTTCCATTGGTAAGGGTTGGGGAACTTTTTGAAAAGTAGGGGATGAAAACAATGTGAAACATGAACTGTATTGATAATAGAATACCTCATGCCATTTTGACTCAATTCACTTATTTGCAAGGAAATCTTGAGGGGGTTAATCTTTCTAGCACTGTGGAGGATGAGGTGATTTGAGAGAGTGAAAATGATGAAGTGTTTATTGTTAAATTTGCTTATTTTTTCATGATCGCTTTATATGGGCCTTAAGTTCTCTCAAGAAAATCTGGAAATGGCCAGTTCCATACAAGGTTCAAGCTTTTACGTGGGTCGTTGCAAGGAAGAAATCTAACTGTTACTAATCTTATGAAACAATGAAGGATTTCAGTTAATATCTGCCTATTGTGTAAAAACGATGCTAAGAATGGGGACCATCTTTTCCTTCATGTTGTTTTGACTTTACCAAGGAATCACAGAGACATTCATGAGCAGCTCAATCTTGGTTGTCTAATTATTTGGCAGATTTTCAGGGCTTCTTTTTTTTGGAGGTCTGGTTGGATAGAAATCGAGGAACATTTGAAAGGGTGGACTCTTTAAAGCAAATAATTGCTCACACACTGTGGAGTTGATTTTCAGCTACTAAGGAAGTTAAAAAGGGTGTCAAGATAGATGTTATTTATAACCTGTCCAATGTAGTTAATCATAGAATAGTCAAGGTTAGACCAAAGGGTAGATGGAAGCCACTGGTTGTGGATGTGTGAAATTTAATTTTAATAGAAGCTCTATAGGAAATCTAGAACTAGCAAGTAAGGGTGGCATTCTTTGTAACAATGATGGGGGTATTAATTTTTGTTAAGCTAGTCCGCATGATAATGTTAAAGCCAACCAAACAGAGTTGCTTGCTATTTTACAAGGATTGAAAATTGTAGTCGATAGACAGAAGAGTTTCTTGTATTGTGAAGGGAAATTCTTTGATTGTCATTAATTGGTGTTAGAAGTAGACCACGTTGGAGACTTAGATCCATTTGGATGCAGATAATGCAGTGTGTAATAATCTAGAAGTGTCTTTTAGATATGTTTACAGGGAGGCCAATGGTGTGCTGTATAGTTTGGCGAAGCATGGGGGTTTCTTTAGACTATTTATTGGTGACAAACTCTTTGCCTTCCTGATTTGTTTGTAATCTCTCCTATGATTATCAACAAAGTAAGTAATGTTGTCAAAAAAATAAAAATAAATAGAACAATATTTTGTGGAAGTCAAATAAAAATCTTTTATTATAATATATACAATGAATTATCAATTTCATTTTAAAACATGGATAGAAGCACTGAGAAAAGATGAAGTGATTTATACTTTAATTGAGGTATTGCCCTCGATAGAGTGGAATGGCAAAACGAGATTATTGCGGCTAACTCCAAATAGTTGGGATCAGGCTCGGATGATAATGATGATATTCATTACTATTTACCTAGCGTTAACTTGTCAAATTCAATCAATATATAAAACCAATATATTTGCCAATGTCAAACTTGAATTAGTGTTCTGCATATCCAAAATCAATTAGTTCAAAATGAAAAAAGAACGCAAGATAACTCATGAAAATCTTAAAGAAGGCCATTAAAAAGAAGAAGAACAAGGAAAAGAAGAAAAAACAACTAAACCATCTCTTTAGCTCATCAAAAAAAATCTCTAAGATCAAAACTAGGGCAAAAGCACCACATTAAGCAAATTCAACACCCAAAATAAAGGAAAACCAACACCTAAGACCCCTTTCCCTGAAAATAGGATTTCTGGGGAAATGTGTATAATGGAATTGGTATCTTTTGGAAGTAGCATTTCCTAAAAGACTGGTTATGTTGTTTGGATAGCATCGGCAGAGACCAGGAAGAAGCATCTTCTCTATTAGGATTACCTGAAAGATGTATCTTCATGAAATTCAAAAAATTTGCATATTATTATTATTATTTAAAAAATAACCATTCTCAGTGTTGTGATTATTGTACTTAAGAATCATTAAGGTCATTCTTTTTAGCTTCTCAGAATTTGAGAGTTGTATCTCTGTTTCCGGTGTTTGTCCAAGTGTGGAATAAATGATGACATTTCAAAATTGATGAGATTGTCTCTGATATCTAACAACAACAAAATTTGAAGCAAATTTCGAAGATTTTTTTAACAAGTTCAAATATAATATCCATATTGATAAAGGTGAGATTCTTTCATTTCAGCATTACATCTCACAAAACATGTGCATTCAAACATTAACATCTTAATTATAATAAAGAAAAAGTTTATATATGGCCTAAGCTCTAAACAATCAAATGAGAGCGCATCTCAAAAATTTCACTATAATAGGTTGTTTTGATGCCCAAATATCCTCAAATTGATCATCTCGATATCAAGATGCGTGGACATGAGAAAAAAATAGATTTCAAGTTTTGAAAATAGTGCATTTTGTAACATATTTTTGAACTGTCAATTTTGAAGATTTTCAAGTTTTCATATATTTGCTCGATCTACACTATTTTTTAAGCTTTAAATTTTATAATTAAAGATGACAATATATTTTAAAGCTATCACAAAGATTTTCAATTTTGAATCCGCATTTCTCAACACTATTTGAAGGTGGGCTTTACTTTGATTGTTTAGAGCGTTGGCTCTATACAAACCGCACCCTTATAATAATAATAACAAAAATAACATTAGGGTCTATGCATTTAACTTTTGACTTCCAATAATGTCAATTCCACTTATTTGGGAAAGTGATATTTCTTGAAATTTGGTTTAAAATGAGGATACATGATTCCCCAAATGAAAGTGAATTCCATCTTCAGAAAGAACCAAAAGTAACATTTCTAATGAACCAAACATGCCCTAAAAGAACAAGCTCCCACATACAAGCTATACTCTTTTTGAAATGGATATTTTGAAGGTCGGGAGGAAAGAAAATCCGTCCACTAGAGAAGATTAGGAACAGACAAAATAGATAATATAAAAAGCAAGTAAATATCTTACAAACCCTAAACAACCAATCAAGAAAAGGGGAGCTCAAACTACACAAAAGCAATGCATAAAAAAGAAGAAATACAAAGTGAGAGGAACCTATAGGAGGGAGAGAGGAGAATGAATGACAAAAACCTAGAAATGGAATATGTGTGTAATTGCATCATAAAGAGAGTGAAGAGAGGAGGTTAAAAAAAGAAGAAAGAACAACTGAAAAACAGGAACATGAGACGTACAAAACAGAAAAAGAATATAAAAAGAGTACAAGCAAGGTGATAGAGTGTTCACATAAAGTTGTGTACCTTAGATGGGTCGTTGAAGAGTATTAACCTTACAAGATTGAATTAAGGCACATCTCAAAAACATATCAATAAATATTGTTCTGATGTTGGAAAACCTTCAAAATTATCTCGACCTTAAGGTATATATATATATATATATATGGAAAAGTTTATATAGAGCCGACCGAGGCTCTAAACAATCAAATTAGAGCCTACCTAAAAAATTTCACTAGAAGAGGTTGTTTTGATGCACAAATCTCCAAATCTGGCTGGAGCGGGCCCAAATATCGCCAAAAAAATCCGGTTCAAAATGCCGAACAGCCCTCTCAAAATGCCGCTAAGCCATCATGACCTACACAAAAAGTTATCCTTCCCTCACCAAACAAATTATTTTCGTTGGAGAAAGCTGTTCGGCATTTTGAACAGGATTTTTTTTGGCGATTTTGTTTTGCTGGAATAGGCGGTCCGGCATTTCATGATGGCGGTCTGGCGTTTCATGGTGGCGGTCCGGCAATTATTATTTTTGCTGGAATGGGCTGTCCGGCATTTTGAAGTTACGGTTCGGCATTTTGAAGGGGCATTTTGGTATTTTGATATGGAGGTCCGATATTTTGTAGGGGCAGTCCGGTGTTTTGAAGTACGTCGGACTGAACAGTCTTGCGTTTCTTTTTATTGGGTTCCGAAAGTGATTTGTTATGTGAGGACAAGGTATTTTTTTCAAAAAAAAAAAAAAACTATTTATATAGGTGTATTAGCTAGAAAACATCATTTTTTGGGGAGGAGTTGCTAGGAAAAGTTGGTGGGGTGTAAAGTGGGTAACAAGTCCGTCTGGGGGGTTTTAGCTCTTTTCTATGCTCATTTCTTTCTCTCTCCTCCGTGGTTTTCTTCCTCATCCCTGTGCCAAGCCATTCCCTGCTCAAACCGGTTGCTCGCGCACTCTCTCTGCCTCTCGCTTCCTGTCTCTCTTTCTCCTAATCGTTCAGAAAACCCCATTGGCCCCCCGCCTTCCCTGTCCAAAGGCCATTCCCCTGCTCGAACCCACAGGCCGCTCGCTGGCTCTCGCTGCCGCTCGAGCACCATCTCGCATAGGTACTCTCTCTCTCTGTATTTGATTCATACAACTTCCATAGATTTCCATCGATTTATTATAAAAACACGTTATTCTCTCTCTTTCTCTTCCAAATTATGGCATTTTCTCTCACTCTCTCTCTCTTTCTCTCTCCTCCCTGGTTTTTTTCCTCATCCTTGTGCCAAGTCATTCCTTGCTCAAACCAAAGGGCCGCTCGCTCACTCTCTCTGCCTCTCGGTCCTTGTCTCTCTCTTTCCCCTAATCATTCAGAAAAATCCATCGACGCCTCGCCTTCCCTGTCCAAAGGCCATTCCACTGCTCGAACCCACAGGCCGCTCGCTGGCTCTCTTTGCCGCTCGAGCACCTTCTCGTGCAGGTACTCTCTCTCTCTCTCTCTCTTCATATTTGACTCATAAAATTTCCATCGATTTTGTGTGGTGTATGTATTTCAAATGGAAATGCACCCCCATTAGCAACAGAGGAAGATGAGGGACTTTTGTGACACAAAGGAGATTCATGTGACTGCAATACTCTCCTTTATTGCTTGTCCTGTTGCAGTCTTGGACTATGAAGTTCTCCATGAAATAGCTCGGGCCAAAGGAAAAACTGCTACTCAAGTAAGCATTTACTTCGATCTCTCTCTCTCATGCGAGATTATTTATGAAAAAAGTATGCAAAATTTATTAAATTATACTCAAGATTCTATTGAATACCTTGCTCATATACTTTGATATAATTGCAGTCGACTCTCATCCTTTTGATTGAATTCAAATAGGCTCATCAAATGACAGCTAAAAATGTTTTGTTCTTATTGTTTGAAAAATTTACAACAGATCATTTCATTACTTTGGTATAAAAATGTAAAATAGTAAATTTCAATAAAGATAGGCTGAAGGGAAATTTACAAATGTTAGATTGGGAGCTCAATAAAGAGGACCTACTTACGATAAGTGAACTCCCCACAAAGGAAGGTATTTCCAGCTCAATTTTTTGTATCACCCAATGGGCCTTACAAGACTTTGGAGGAAATGTCGCATGATGACTACATGATTGATATTATTAAAAATGAAATAAATTGAGTTTCTGATTTCAGTTAAAATGATATGTTGCAATTTTTCATTTGCAATTGTATTATTGTCATTATTGTTGATGTATTTGATTTATAATTGTATTCGCTTCAATTGAATTTATCTTCCTCTTACAGCGTTAAGGACAAAACATGTCGTAAGCTTCGAACCCATAAGGTGGCAGTAGATGTGAGTTGATGGTAAGAAGCAATTATTTGGAAGGTATGTTTGTAAGTTCATTTTGAAACATTTTTATATGCGTGTAAGTTCATATTTGTAATTTCATTTGGAACACTATTATCACTCATCATAGTGCGTTTTATGTCTCAAACAGATAGGACAAATTCATATGGAACAACTTCAAAAGAGGGGTTATGTAGCTCTTTTTTCAAATGAAGGGCTATGCCATTCACTCAAAAAAAAGATGTAGGTTGTATGCCATTGTACTCTTTTCACGTTTTTTTGGGTTGTAAGAAAGTGATATGTAAGGTGATTGGGTATAAGGAACGAACCATTTCGCAAGTAGTTGATGAATTGTATGTAATATTATAGTTATAAAATGCAATGCATTATCACTATGGCAATAGTTTATCAACCTATTTCTTGAAAGGTTTTTAGATGCATAGAATGTATGCCAAATTGTTATCAAATGCTATATATTATCACTAGAGCCGGTCTCACTGATTGTGAATCTTTCAATTTGTTAGGTGTACAATCCAATTAATGGTATACTACCTGTGCAGAGAGAGAGAGAGAGAGAGAGAGAGAGAGAGAGAGAGAGAGAGAGAGAGTAAGTGT